AAAATTATTACAAACCAGCTTCTGTAGAGAAAGGCTAATCTTCAAATGCATCAAATATACGAAATAATAGTATCATCTAAAGCTTCGTAGACGTAACAAAACCAAAATTTGTTAAACTTTTTTTTTTTTGCTACAATGTTTCCCTCATAGCAGTCATTTCCCGATACATAGTCGTATTCAAACAGAAATCGTTTTTATGAGGAGTAATATGATTATTTAAGATCAAAGTCATGCATCTGCTCGATCAAGTGCCAAATTTCAAAAATAGGTGTAATACAAAAAAAAAAAAAAAAAGCTTAAAGTTGCCTTTTGAAGTCATAGAAAATTTGGAGGAATAAAGTATATTACACAAAAGCCATCACCATAATGACGTCAACTATTAGCTAGCTGAAATACAACAGCCGATGCGATAGAAGGGGCAAACAACGATTGCATGATTGCATTAAAAATACTGAAAATACTACGACCAACAATAATAATAGAAAAAGATTAGAAAAATATGTGCACTGAAATATTTTAATCATAGTAACAAAAATATAAAAATTTTTATTGTTATCAGACACAAATATTTGCCAAAAAATGCCACCTCTAATCGCTCTGACAGATCACTGAACTTCCCCATCAGACTAAAAGGCTGGGGAACAATACTGCTACAGCTGAACAAAGCAATCATTATAAGAAAACAAGCATAATTGTCCGTAACTCTATCTCCAAAAAATAGAAAGAAAAATACATTTCACTGCTTTTTGAAAAACATCAATTTTCCCTCATTATATTTTTCAAGTATTCTCAGTTTACGACATCTAACCACTTAAGATTACAAGCAACAGACAGACTGATACCGCATCCAATTTGACCATACCACAGTAACAGATACTACTTTTCTCAAATTTTTGACCCATTTTCTAATTCTTGTCCCGTGAAATTAGAAAATCATAAAATATACAAATTATAACTTTACATAAATAAGGGTAAAACTTAAATGACTGTTATAAAATAATATTTATTTGAAAATTTTTAGAAAAAAAACGGTCAAAAAAAAAACAAATGTTAGTGTAATAAAAAAAAAAAAAAAAA